TCCGCAGGTGCTCTGGTTGGCTGAGTGGGTCTGTAGATGTGGGTCTTGGTGTATTTGTGGGAGAGGGTGGCTTACAAGAGTCCTTCTACTCCGCCATCTTGCCTGGAAGTCAGCACATTTTTTTTTCCTTATAGAAAATGAGAAACAGAGCTTTTTTCCCTTATCTAGAAAAAGGCTTGTAGCAAAAAAGTTATAAACAAATTTGAATGTTTTGGAATAGGAAAAATACGTAGGAGCCTGACATCTTTTAACTTTTTGATCTTGTGATCTACAGAAGTACTACAAAGGTACTAAATTGTTTCCATTGAAAGATGGGAGCTTCTTTTTGACAGAATATTAACCATTCTGTTTAGTTAGCTAAACTAACATTTTATAGTTGACTAAATCATTATTAAAATTCAACAAATCTGATTTTCTTAAAAATTATAATCTCTGAGCCAGTAGTGTATGAAGGCCACAGGACTGGATAAATTGGCCTATATAAATTGGAAGAAGAAATATTTTCTCTGCTTCATAGCTAGCATGACATTTTTGCATGCTATATCATAGTGTTTACGTGCAAACACATAATGCCATGAAGTTCTGGCTTTTTTCCTCCTCTGTAAATTGTGCTAACGATTTCTTGTATAGGATTAAATTTCCTCAAGGCAAGTTCTTCTGAAGGATTACGTAGAATTAGCAGATGCTGGCAGATGATGCTAGGCATTTCCAGATTCTGTTAAAATGATGGTACTTTCATGTAATAAGTATTCTGTAAGGCATAATTTATTTTTTTGTTGAAGAAAATACATATCTCCCTAGAGCACAGCCTTAAAATCTTGGTGATATTTCTGTGTCATTGGCATTACTCTAATTACCTATAACTTATAGACAAGTTTAGTCCAAGCTCGTCCAAGAACAGTGAGTCTCCTTAAATGCTGTTGACAAGAATAGAAAATGTACAGGGACAGGAAGATTTTAGGTTACTAATACCTTTCTTGATCCAGCAGATTTTTTTGAGTTTACCCCCTTTATTAGAGTATGAGGAGGAAATCCATGATAAAAAGGATCAAAGAAATGCTGCATGTTGTAGTGCTTACAGGTGGTTGGAAATGAATGGGGAGAAGAATTCACAGACTTTCTAATAAAGCAACAGTTTTAATTTCCTAATTGGAAATATTCAAATAGAGGGGCCCATAGACATTGCAGAGTAGGACTTGCAGTACATGTAGAGCCAGGATCAGCAAACCTCTGTGAAGAGCCAGATAACAAATATTTGGGGGCTTTGTGGGTGATATGTTCTCCATTGAAACTCCTCAACCCTGCAGCTGTAGTGTGAAAGAAGTCAGAAGCAATAGGTCATTGAACCAGCCTGGCTGTGTTCCAGTAAACCTTTATTTATAGACACTGAAATTTGAATTTTGTGTCATGTCTATATATCACAAAATACTCTTCTTTTGATTTTTCCCCCTAGTGATTTAGAACTGTAAAAACCATTCTTAGCTCACAGTCCATACAAAAATGGTTGACAGGCTGTTGTTTGCTGACCCCTAATCTCAGTTAGTGACACTGCTAGCCAAGAAAGCGTATAACACAGTGGTGGAGTAGAATGTCTGTCTTATGGCCTAATGAGCTTTTTAAGCCCTCCTTACTATCAGGAGGAATTAAAAAATGTAAAATTTGCTTTATCTTCAAGGCAAGATGGTAGTAATAAAGTAGTAATATGAGAGAATGTGTAATAAGACTCAATGGAGTTAGAGTTAGACCACTAATACTCTTAGGAATTTGCTAAAAACACAAGAACAACATGATTAAATTCGGCAGGCACAGTTCCTCGAACTCAGAAGTAGGAAGGATGCAGTACCAGTGAGGATGTCTTCTGCATTTAACTGCAGAGCTCTTTGAAGATTCTAAATCCATCAGAATCCGTGGTAGAGTGTTATGAGACATTTCTTATAATGACACTTGAGAATGATCCCACTTAACAAGTACAGAAGAAAATAAAATGAAAGAACCTTTAAAGAAATCAGGTATGTTTTATTGGCTCTTGCTGCAACAAATCTCTTGGATCTGTTACTCAGAGACAAGCTTAAGTGAGTAAAGCACTGCTACTTAATTTAACCAGCATTTTTAGGATTTAGTGTTGGCAAGATACTTGGAAATGTTGCAAAATACAAAGTATTTTCAGATTTTTGAGATACAGACTGGGATTTTGCCAAGCCTACTCTTTATGCAGCATGGTGAGAATGCTTCTTCCATCTTCTAGAGCACGTGAACAAAATTGGCTAGGTTGGAAGGAAACATCCCAGTCAAGGAAATAGTTAATACTGTAAAGAATAGAGAAATTTTTCTTGAGCCAGATAAATCAAATTTGATGATTAGGTGGGAGAAATGCAGCATCAGAAGCAGACTCAACTAATCAGCTGTTGGCAGTTGGACAGAATAAACTGACTTGAACAGAATTCCATGGAGCAGAAGTTTTATTTCATTGAGTTCAAATGGAGTTTTTTCCTTTTTTGGTAATTTTTTAATTGAAGTATGGTTATTTACAATGTCATGTTTCACATGTACAGCAAAGTGATTTAGTTATGCATATATATATATCTATATATCTATATTCTTTTTCAGATTCTTTTCCATTACAGGTTATTACAAGATATTGAATATAGTTCCCTGTGCTATATACAGTAGGTCCTTGTTGTTTATTTTATATATAGTAGTGTGTATATGTTAATCCCAACTCCTAATTTATCTCTCCTGCAAATGGAGTTTTTATATTTTTATTCTTAGCCTTCTTTTTTTGGAAATGAATTTCATTGTATCCACTTGATGTCAAGAAGACATTACATTTAGAAAGTGTAACTTTTTTCATACTAATTTTTTTTTCTGTTCATGAAGTTTTGTTTGCTACTTTGTAAATGGTTGGAAAACCTGAAAGATGCTCAATGTCTTAAAGTTGTATAGCTTCATTTGAAACTGATAGTTGACAGTATTTAAAAATAAAATTGATTGGTAAATTTTTGTTATTTAATATACTAAAGCAGGTTGAGATTTCTTCTGTGAGCTTTTTAATAACTTTTTATTGCTAAACCGACAGAGTGACTTGAGATCTTTTAAAAGTACTTTAAAATATAAGTAAAAGTTTTACAATTCTCTTCTTCTATTTCTTTTTTTGCAGGGGGGGAGGGGAGCAATAAACTTACCTCTATGAGTTAACTATGAAATTTACATTTCTGATTGGCTAATAAACTGGACTGAAATTAGGGAAGCTTTTGATCTTTTGATTTGAAAACCAGAAGGCAAATGGATAGTGCTTTGTTTTTGACTGGAGCTGATGCATTCTTTTGTGTTTTACTCTTTTTTCAGTGAAACCAGCAGTGTGTGTAGCAGCAGTGACACAGGGCTCTTTACCAACGATGAAGGACGGCAAGGTAATCTTGATCCCGGCTTTGGGATCTGAAGATTCTAATAATTCCAGGAGTGTCTCACTGAGAATATGATAGTTGTCTGTGATAGTGGTTCTCAAACTTCAGGATATAAGAGCTACCTGGGGAACTATTAAAATTATAAATTCCTGAGCTCCTAGAAATCAGATGGGTCTAGAATTGCCTCTGAAATCTGCATTTTTCATAAGCACCTGTGGTGATTTTTATGCAGATAGTTCAGACTTTGAGAATCATTGATCCAGAGAGGTTATAGTATTAAGGATGGGACTTTGGGAAATTGCTTTTTATTAGAACCAGAAAGTAATCTCATGTGTTACTGGATGTTAAAATATTCTTATTTTCACATAGGGAGAATTTATTTTTATAACTTTATTTATAAATGATCATAGTGTTCTGGATGAATTAGAAAAACCTCTTCTTTCTGAAGTTTAGTAGAGAGCATTCTGAATAACGCTGGTGTATATTAATGATCAGTTCTTTATTTTTACCACTTAAACAGCAATATGTTCATGTTCTGTACACTTGCTTGGTGCCACACTAATTGTGAACCTATGAGAATTTCATATAGCTCCTTTGGACTATAGTTTTCTTAATCTAAATAAGGGATTTGTAGCTCCCTAAAGTCTTTCCTACCTCTGAAACCAAAAATTTTTCTCCAAAGGTTAAGTGATTGAAGGACCAAGGCACTGTGGCTACAGGTCCAGGTTGATCCAGATAGGCTCCTCAGTAACTGAAGGGATTCTGGGACTGTGAGACTTAGGATGCAAGTCCTGATTTTGGAGAGAGACCATGAGGAGGTATTTCACTGTGCCTCAGAGTTGTAGGCATAGATGGAGTTGTTGAACTTCCTACTATAATGGAGGTCGTTGTGAGTACATTTGTATTCCTTCCTGATTCTGAAGGAGCTAGGTGTCATTGGAAGCTATGCATGTATACTCCCAGGTGGGCTCCAGCTAGGGTCTTGATTGTCTTATCTTATACCAGGATAGTCTGGTTGTCTTTCCATGAATGAACTGGAGCATACTTTCAGAATTACTAATATTTGCTCTTTTTCTTTGCTTTTACTTGATCACAATAATAAAATAAAACTATTTATTTATCATAATGCATCTCTTAAAGGTTACGATGTGTATACAGAGGTGTAAGAAAATATGGACCTATTACAACAGATTAAGTTTGGGGCTTTTGGAAAGCCTTCCCACTGATAAGGAATCCTTGGAATATTATGGAAGATTGTAGAATATTTTATAGCCCGGCTTTCCTCTTTAATCTCTGCCTCAACTTCACACATTTTGCTGATATTTAGATGTGTAGCATACTCAGCTCAAAACTATGTTATTTTCTGTTTCTATGTCTTTGTTTATTTTGATCTCTCTGCCTGAAATCTCATCTTCATCTTTCCATGAATGGCTGGTCATTCTCCAAAGTTCTCCTGTTGCACGTCTGAGGCATATTTATGGACTACACCCGTGGATTTTCTTGCCCTCATTTCCTGTTGTGTTTGGCCAATAGAGGCAACTACAGAAGTATGGAGGGAGGGAGGGAGGTGAAAAAGACTGGATGTGTTAGTCATCAAGCTTTTATTATGATGATACTGTTGAAGAGTCCCAGATTTCAGTGGTTTGCTACATTAATCTTGCTGTGGGCTTGGGGGTTGGCTGTGGTTCAGCTGATCTTACGTGGGCTCAGCTGGTCTCTAGGCTTCAAGTTAGGTTTGTATCTACTCATATTTTCTTATTCTGGGACCTAGGCTAAAGGACCAATGGCTCTGTGTGGCAGGGACTTCTCATGGCAACTGATATGAATGCCAAGTGGCTAAATCAGACCATGTATGAATATTTAAAGCTTTTGCTTGAATCACATTGCTCATGTTCAGCAACCTAAAGCAAGGCGTGTGACAAAAGCCCAGTGTCCATGGGATGAAGAAGTGTGCTCTTCCTCAAGGGAAAAGCTGTGTGGAGTTCCTTGGCAAAGGGCAAAGGGTGTGTGGCTGTATCATTCTATTATAGGGAAGTGGTGAAGAGTTGGAGACAATATGCAGTGTGTACCAATTGGATTACAGCTTTCCCTGACTCCCTTTCTGTTGGACTGCTGGTTGGTAGTGGTTGTGTTCTTCTGCTAAAGGCTGCTGCTCCTATTTGGCAGCCTTCTCCTATAACCACAGTTGTCTCTCTGTGCTCTGGTAACCGTTCTTTCCCCTTGCTTCTTCAGATCTGGGAAGGATAAAGACTCCCTGGTGTGCTGGCTCCAGGATGCTTCAACATCCCTTTGGTTTCTCTCAGTACTGTCTATACTTTTGTAAATGATCACTTCACTGGAGGAAGTCTCAGATACCACATTTAAGTGTGCATGTGTTCCTAAAGGTATTCTGGCTGATATTCTCAGTGTAGGCATCATCTCCTAGAACCTTTAATTCTTTTCTTGCCCTGTACTTACTGCTTTCTCATCACTTACCGTATTACATTATTGTTTATAGATGCACGCCTTTTCTGTTGAAGCTTTTCAAAGGCAGGAATTTTTTTTATTGTTTGCTACCACAATAGATAACACATTGCCTGGCATGTAGTAAGCTCTTAATAAATAATTATTGGGGAACACAGATAAGGGGAAAATTCTCTTCTTTTTTTCCCCATCAAGCAGAATTGTACACAGAACCTCAAGTTATGAAACAACTAAACCTGTTTTGATTAAAGCAAGATCCTAGAGGAGCAGGTCCAGGGCCTGATCACTCAGCCTCTTCCTTATTCTCTGGCAGCACTCTTTTAAGGAGCTCCTGCATCAGGCATCCTAATGAATCCAGGTTGAAGACTACTGGTCTAGATAATCTCACAAAGTTCCTTCCAGTTCAGTGAGTCCCTTTTTGTATTATCAAAAATCTCAAGTGAATGTTTGAGAACCAAAAAATACTCCATTGAAGTCTGCTATTTGTCATCAAAATGTGGTCAGGTAAATATACTATTTTAATAAATGGCCTGAGGAATAGGAAGGAATTAATATATGCCTTATGGTGACACTCATCACTATTAATTCTGTTGCCTGTCTTTAACTCATCCTTGTACCTAGTTTGTTGATATTCTTTTAGAGTAGTGGTTCTCAAAATGTGGTACCCAGACCAGCTTAGAATCACTAGGGAACTTGTTAGAAATGTAAAATTTTGGTCCTGCCCAGACCAGAATCGGAAACTTTAGGGGTAGGGCCTAGCTGTCTGTGTTTTAATAACCTTCCTGGTCCTTCTGATGCATGCTAAAGGTTGAGAACCACTGTTTTAGAAAAACAGCTATTGGTGGTGTGTTTTTATAAGGCAACACTTTGAGTAACTTCTTTAGTGATTTCTTTCCCTTTTAGAGATCTCTGCAGTGATTTATGAGTTATCCTGGGTGTTAGTGGTCCATGAATCTGATACTTCATGTGATTAGCATGGCCTGAGTAGCTTCCCTGGGATCCAGTATACATTAGAAAATGAATGCAATATAAACTCTAGATGTTCTAGTAATAATTTCCTTCATTCTTCCTGTTTTGAAAGGGGTTCGGGGTGGGAGACATAAAGTTGTCCATCTTACCCTTTTTGGGCAGGAATAAGCTTTGGAAAGTGAGATGCTATCATTGTAGCTAGCAGAAAGAAGTTTGAACCCAGAGTCTGGCTATATGGATCTAGTTTTGACATTGTCATTAATGAAGACTGTGGCCTTGGGCAAATGGTATAACTTCTTGACAAACCTTGGGGGATTATATTGTCTCTGTGGCTAGTTTTTTCTTGGTATTTCCTTGGATTGTTACTGTCAAGATGATTTTCTGTCCTATTAATGAGGTACCATAGAAGAAACAAAGTATGGATGTGTATTCTTAACTCATTTATTATGAGATACAAATATAGCAAGAAATCTCTCAGGAATAGCTAGTTTTGAGTTAAGAAACATTTGTGGGCTTTGAATCCCCAAGTTCATTTATACTTCTTAGACATGGGAGGCAGTTTATTTTTGTGTTAAAGACTTTGGAGTTAGTTGGGCTTTGGTTTCAAACCATGCCTTCATCATTTACTAACTTGACCTTGACTTCTCTGGGCTTCAGTTGCCTTGTATAAGGTTTGGAAGAGATAACAAATTTACAGATTTTTTTAGTATGGATTCTGGTAGGTGATAAGGGCTTTTAGTAAATGGTAGGTTCATTAGGTTTTGTTTTCAAAATACATTTAATTAAACCTATATCACTAAGAAAGCATCTTTCCATTTGATTTTTCATAGAGCATGTTAAAATTCCAGCTTTTGATTGGATCTCTTTACTTTAGGGGATGATGAGCAGAGTGATTGGTTCTATGAAGGAGAGTGTGTCCCAGGATTCACTGTGCCCAATCTTCTGCCCAAGTGGGCTCCTGATCATTGCTCTGAAGTAGAAAGAATGGATTCTGGACTGGATAAACTTTCAGATTCCACATTCCTTTTGCCTTCTCGACCAGCTCAAAGAGGTGAGTTCTGAGGAGACCAAAATATACTTCGTACTTCTTTGGTTCTCTGTGGGGAGAGTCATCCCATGGCAAGCATACTCATGCCTGTAAGCATGCATTAACTATCTGAATTTTAGAACTAGTCCAGGGATTTTTCTAGAAGATTCAAGGGTGAGTCTCAAAGCTTGAGGTTCTCTCCATTCTTCCCTAAATCAATCCATGGAGACTCTTGGAATATATATTAGCAGGGCGTTCCTTCAGCTTGCTATTGCCATTTGTGCCAGATTTAAGAAGCCTGGCAGCGTGTCCCTGCTGCTTATCCTGCTGTGAAACTGATGGGCTATTGAGTGCTCAATGGAAGCCTGAAGTAGTGGATCTTGGAAGAGAACAGATTTCAGTAACAATATTCAAGTACAAGGTATAATGACATTTTTTTAAATGAATGATCTAAGAATATTTTAAAATAATTATTTTAATAATTTTATTATTGTGGACTATAACACAAATACATATCATTTCCCCTTGCTTTTCCTTCAGTTATGGTGTAGCAAGGTGGAGTGGAGAGAGCCTAGGACATGGGGAAGGAAATGCCGTGGTAGCGGTCTCTATACTATCTGCCTAGCTCTGTGACTGATGGAGTCACTTTATTTCCTTGGGACATCAGGGTCATCACTTAAGATAGTGTGACATTGAACAAAACTGTTTCAGAGGTTTCTTTTAGCTCTGTAAATTTACAACGTGAGGATTCCCTGTAATCGATAATCAGCCAGTTAGTTACTAAGCATTTGTTGAGCATCTGCCAGTGATCAGAATTACACTAGAAGCTGTAAATTCCTATTCTGTAGCATTTCATTGTGATGAATTTAGGTGATTGAAAGGCATTCTCAAAGCAGTTGGTTCTTGGTAAAGACTGCTCCCTGGCTGAGGCGCATTGTTTGCTATATTAAAACTTTTAAAAACATTTCAGTGACCACTTCTAAAAGTTCTTTATGGACCGTGTAAAGTATACACAAGTAAGCCAGAAAAGGAAGAAGAAACTTTGAATGGCCTGTAATCCTATCCCTAGAGGCAATGTCATTGATAACGTTTTGGTGTGAATTCTTCCAGTTGTCTTTTCTATGTGTAGGACATGCACAGCAGTGAGAAAAATGGGATTATACTATACATGCTAGTTTTTACCGTTTCATGAATTGGAAT